TGCGGCCGCGCCGTCGTGGAGCCTCCTGCGCCCCGCGCTAGGGGAGCGGGATGACAGGGCGCTCTAATCCAGCCCAAGCTGATAAGCAGCATCAAGGCGGCACTTCCTGCGTTTCAAATTCTAACGCCGCAGCATCAAAGAGTTTTTACATTTCGATTTCTTTTGCTGGCAGCGCCGGGCAGCCGCTCCTTCTCCCCCGGTGCTCTAATGCAGCATTTGCACACCGGGGTGACTCCCAGCCTGAATAGCAGGTCAGCCCCTGCTTGGCGAGCTCATCTGCGGCCCCTGTGCTAGGCAATTTAGATCCAATCAGCCCTTATTTAGCTCAAGAGTAATGAGCAGCATAGTGACACAGACTTAAGCCTGACCCTCAGGACACTGCTCATCAAGCAGTAAAACTGTGACAAAATCATTCATCTTCCACCCGCTGGCAAGAAATAATACTCGCACTCACTGTATTACTTTTTCAAGATATAGAGGGGAAAAAAAAGTCCTGAATTTTCATGATGTGAGACATTAATTTGCAGAAAGCTGAATTCCCTTAAACCCCCCTGTTGCTATGAGCTCACCAGGGGGAAATAGGCCTTAGGAGACTGAAATGGAATAAAGAAAATTGCTTCAGCTTTCTTTTCATTTTAAATAAGCCTTAAATCTGACAAGAGATATCCTAAAGAGAGAAGAAATATATATCTTGTAAGGTAACGAAGAAACAATCAAAATTAAGAGATTAGAATGCTACTTGTGTATAATGGGTTTTACCGGCAAAAATATTTCTTTGTTTAACATCCACAACAAAAAAATATGCCATACGAAACGGCATTTTCACACTTCAGGCAAAGAATATAAGAAGGAAGGAGGCAAGTTCATTTGGGGAAAACATTTCCAGGAATGAGACACTTCCACCAGAAAACAAATCCCCGCTTTGTGTCCTTCGGGGAGCAAGCACAGCTGTTTCTAAACAACCACAGGATCCCGACCAGCAGGCTCTTACTACACCTGGATACAGTTTTAGCCTCCTTTTGTGGATTTACTCTTTCACAACAGTAAGCCTTGTATTGCTGTTAGGGAGGCTACAAAAAAACCAAACTGTATGAATTAATTGGGGGTAGATAAAATGAATACAACGAATGAAAGACAGAAAAAGGTTCCCAACTCTAGCACTGGGCACAGAGCTGCGTATCATCATAGTTACAGTGCCATACTTGAATTTCTGTAGCTTCCTATAATCTAAAAAGATTGGCATTACTTGGGCATCAACAAGGAGAAGCCTGGCAGGTTCCTTGGCTGTTCCTGTTACTTCAGGTTGTTCTTCAGACGGTGCTGCAGCAGGTGCTCTCTCTATTATCTCCTCAACTGCAATATGAAATTGATTTTAAGCAATTATTCAGCTCTCATGTGACCTTTCATGGACTCGAGCAATTTGATAGTAAGAGGTGGAAGTAAATACTCCTCCTGCAGCCTCAAGGCTGGATGTACTGGGACAGAGAGGCATTCACTCCTGCTGCTGTCCACGGCCAAATTATTAATGAGCATTTTAATTACACACGTTTACCTGATTAGTATTTATGTGCAGACAAAAAGACAAACTTAGGAAATCTGATACACTGAACTTTTCAGTAACTTTTCATATTCTACAGTTTTGGCAGCGCAGGAGAAAATGGCATAAATACTCAGGATAGGTCTTCATAAATAAAATTACTCTTTCTCATGTTACCATGTGTGTGACAGCCTCCTCTTCTGCCCCTATGAGGAGCAGAATTAGGAGCAAGTCTCACGGAAACTACGCAGCTGCTGAGAGGACCAGTGGTTGTTTTACACCAGGCCGGTTATTTGTATTTGGTAATCCTGCAACTCAGTTCTAACTTGCTGCAAAAACAAACCCACACTCCCCCCAGGATGATGGTAATGAGGGAAAGCTCATGTCAGAGCAACATCTATCCGGTTACAATAAAAGATATTTTGATAGGTGGCAAAAGCGCTTCTTATAAGAGTAAAATATTATGAAGTGCTGTAATCTACTGTATTCCAGTTACTCAGCAAATATCTCTAAACCTGTGCCTATTCTAACAGTGGTTTTGTTAAATCTATTAAATGCCTGTATTTTTATTAACTTTTTTTTTTTTTTTTTGGATGGCACGGGCTCTGCTGATGATGGGAAGCACTGGAAATTTGCAACAAATGAAAGGATACAGGGAGCAAGCACCCCAAATTTACCTTTCAGTAGGGACAAAGAATTCAGGGATCTAAAGCACTGATCAAAATCAGAAAAGTAATAGAAAAATATATAGAAAAGTAATGAAAACCTTATGTCAGAGCTAGATGCTGAAGGTTCCAAATAAACCGAAGGAGGAAGTCTGTATCTCATCACATTTCTTATTTTCCTGAATTTTGTATGTCTGAGACCGTTTATATTTTAATAGTCTCCTTTTTAAAGGCTACATCTTATACTTCCATACTGAATCTCATTATGAAAACCAAATACTTGGAAACGCCAGCAAGCAGCATCTTGTTTCCAATTATCCACTCTCCATAGATCAAAAACTAATAAAGTCCTTTTTTTCCTGCTAAGTCATAGCTCATTTGAAGTACCCGGACAGCAAAATACTAATAATGATAGCAGCAATAATCATTAAAAAATTGGTATTTTATATATGTGAAATACTGTAAGCATAGGTAGACACAACAATCAAAAGTCAAGCAATTTTCCAGTCATTTTCTAGCAGCCAACAAAACACAGGGAAAGTCTGGAAAGGGTTATTTTAAAATCTGTGTAAAAATGGTGAAGGTCTGTTTTTGTGATGCCTTTTAAGAAAAAAAAAGGAAGGAAGAAAACAAGCACCCTTTCAAAATCTCCTATGCCAAGCTTTAGCCCTGAGCAAGTTTTCACAGCTCCGTTACAACCTCCTGACAAAAATAGTTTAGAATGGAAATGATGGCACGACCCTTTCCCAGAGCAGCACAAATGGCTGTAATTAAAGCAGAGCTTTTGGCTGCACCTCACTGGCAAATGAAAGGTTGTTGCCATTTTTACAAAACCCTCAGTAAAAGGGAGTGAGAAATCTGAAATGTGACTGCAGCACTGCAAGCTGCTATGTTAAAGGGAATGGCTAGGACTGTTTGACAATCTAAGCTTTAAATATGGAGACATTTAGTTAACAGAACCAAGTGGGTCTTTCCACAGGGCTGCTCAGTGAGCAATAAATAAGGCTCCTGTGTGACATTTTCGGGGTTTAACAGAAAGGGGCACATGAGGTTATTACTTCCTAACAGCCTAGAGGGAGCTGCTCTTCTCTTTAATCAGTGATCCCACATCCTTCCTACCTGGAAATTCTATGTCAGGCAGTTATAAAACTATTGAAGTGCAGACTAGAGAAAAAAATATATCTATTTATGAAAGCTCTACTATCTTTATCTATCAGGATTTTTAAAAGAGGAGAGAGAAAGGCACTGAACCATTTCACCCTCTTTGCAAACACAGTAGGCCTCATCAGTCTGCTTAGGATGCTAACACTGCAGCTGACACAAAGGCATCTAAACCTTCTGAATGAAGAGATTATTTTTAGTGCTGTTTTACTCACATGGTGGCAAAGGGCTATTTTCAGTGAGTCATTCAAGGTGGGAAAGAGACCCAGTAACACTTCACTATTCCCCAGCACCTGAGGAATAAGTGCTTTACACACCTTAATAAAATAAGCTTCTTTATAAATAGGCAGGTAACAGGAATCAAACACACAGATGCAGAAACTGAAATAAAGAGTTAAAAAACAAGGCTCCAATAATCTTGCTCATACAGGTACATATCTGAGCACATTGCTAATGCAAATTATTTCAGAATTCCTTTGTATAAATTAAGGTGTAAATAATGTACTGCACGTTGTACATGATTTCCTGAGAAGTCTAGAATCAACTTCTATGCTCTTATGTAACAAGAGGATAAGCTAACCCTGAAGTTTTGCAAAGCTTCAGAACAATGTCACGTTATGAAACAGGCAACTTTTTCACCAGTGTAAAATTTCTCCCTACTTGATCTTTAAAAGCAACCCAACAAATGTTGTATATTAACTGATCGAGAAAATTTCAAAGTATTTTTGAAGTCTCCGATTTCTTCCAGTAAATACACTCAGTTGAACTGAAATAATAAATAATAAATCAGCTCAACTTAGTTTCATGCTTCATCTTTCTTCAAAAGACTGCCAGAAACACAGTTGTCTTTGGATGTATCAGCTATTGACAGCTGCAGTCAAACTACTAGAGAATAACAAAGAAAGCAGAGCTCTTGCTTTGGATAGGGATAGCCTGGCTATTTGGATAGCCTGGCTATCCCTATTTCTCACTCTCTCACAGTTCTTTCCACATATTCCAGTTTTGCATATCTCGAGCAATGGCAGATCAACAGCTATCCCCCTTAATAGCTTAAAAGAGGCAAATTTGGCTTCAGACTGAAGGACTACCTCCAGAAGGCATCGGTAGACAAAAATATGCTTAGTGAACAAGTACAAAGCAAAACTGGTTCTAGTGGTAGAATTTGGCTTCTTTCTTGCCTATCTAACCTCAGACTGGTATTAAATCTCCATACTGTGACATCTGATCACATGTTTGGCAAAACAGATGAGAAAGTTTATAATGAAGAATCTGAAAAATTGAACAGATTCCCTGAAAAAGCAGTAACTTCAGTAATTAGTACAAACACAAATTGTGAAAATTCTTGTGCCCACGTATAGCCACGGTGTTCTCTAAGAATGGCACAGCAGGGAAAATCATTGATTCACAACAAAACACCAAAGACCTCAAACTTCAGCATCCTGAAAGCGCAAGGCAACATTTCAAAGAGTCTAAACATTGCAAGCTATGGGAGAACTCTGAAATTTAACATATCATTCACTGTCCTCCAGAGCTACCTCTGCTGTGTTTCAGGAAGAAATTAGTATGAAGCACATTTTCACTACAAACACCGAAACAACATGCCAGTCTGTATCTACTAAGTTAACGAAATAACTTACCGAAGTCTTGCTAGAACAACCTGTAAAAAATTTAGGACCAGACTCAGTTCAGCTCCTCGACAAGCAGGCAGCAGCATGGTAAAGCCATCATTTAGCAGCTTCTCCTGAGAAAGATTCAGGTCACAGCTGGTCTCAAACACTTCTTGGACACCATCAATGTATGTTGAAAGTAAAGTCCAGAGATTTTGTTTCTGGGTGTAGTCATTTTTGGTTACCAAAAACTCCTTTGCTTTTTCCCGGAAAGCGTTGGCGAGTTTCTCAGCTAGGACACTGATATCCATGTTCTTCTCAACATAAATCAGAAGAAAAGCAAACTGGCCTCTCCAAATGAGAGCTCTCTGAGAGACAGTAACAGAGGATGGAGTCAGGAAATCCAAGAGATCCAACACTCGACTCACTATGTCTTCTGTCTCTGCAACAGTTGCTAGCAAAAGGAAAAGGTTAAAGAAGTTCTGCAGACCAACTTCTGTCAACTCCTGCATCCTTTTCCGATGGAACTTGGAATAAATTCTACATCAAAACAAACAAAACAAAAAACAACAGTTTAAGTATGAAAACAACAGTTTAAGTATGCTATTTTTTACCTGCAATTGTATTTTCATGCTTTTATTCAAGAATCATCCTCTTACAAAAGCTCTTAGTTTTTGGATATCCTCTTTTCCCTTCCTTTCCCTCTCCTACTGTTTTGACTAAAAGAATAAAAATGTTATTCCACTTTCTGCTCCCAATACCAGGTGCATACTGGAGCTTTCAGCTCCAAGTGCAGCCTAACCTTCCTCTCTTGCCCCAACATCTAACCTCTAGCAGAAAGCTCAGCCCATGCTACTAGAAGACTCTGCTTCATCTGTAAGGGGTTTCCTCAATACCCTGCCTCACATCAAACTTCGCACATCTCCAATGAGACCTGCTAGAAAAGAAAGTGACTTGTTAAGTCCCATCTCTCCACAGTACCTAACATTTTCTGTACCTCAGCTGCTTGCCTGGAAGCTTAGAGATTTCCAGGTGACACACACACAATTCCAAAAATGGCCAGAGACCTCTCTCCTTAAAATACTGATTTCTCTTCTTATGTTATACTATCAGAGCTGTTGTTATCAAAGCTCATGTAGTTAATCATCGCTCCACTTAAAGAGGAAAATTCCCGAGAGCAAGTTCCTTTTCTGTGCAGTGTTCTGCCCAAGTCTTGCATGGAGTTTATGCTGTTTGGCCTGCACATTACAAGTGTCTCAGGAAAAAGACAACAGGCTTATTTGGGAGAGGGAACTCTCTCTGGCAGGAAGATACGATAAAACCTTTGGGCTGGATTGCTTATAAGGTAGTGCTTAGGTCATATGTTGCTGAGGGGCAAGAGCACTGCTACTTGGCAACTTTAAAGTACTTGGCAAAAAGCAGGAAGCTTTTCCATATGTACTTTTGTGTGACCTTTGATTATACTTGGATTTTTAAGCAAGTGTCACCATTCTTAGGAGCTGAAAAGATGAAAATGGGTTGCTCAACTTGTGATTAAGAACTTGGGTATCTCCTTCACCTTGAACTTAAAATACGTTCTGCATAGAGTAGTTAAACATCTGTAAAGGCTGTTTTCTTATTCCGTTACCGGAAAAACAGTTGGAAATGGTACTGAGGTTATCAAATCTAGCTACCAAAAATTACAGCAAATCCAATTAATGTTGCTTAGTAGTAAATTACTACTGACAGGCATTTATGTTTTTCATGCATCAATTAATGCTTGGTTAGATGCAGAAAACAGAGTTCATCCCAAAATCATGGCTGCAGGCTTTTAAAATTTGCTACTTGTATAATTGATTTATTCAAGGTAGAAATGATGAATACTGGTTGAGCACACTGTATGTCATGTATTAGCATTCCCCCTCCTAAATTAGGAAAAGCAACAAGCTATAAGACAAAAATGTAAGTATAATTTGTTTTCAGTGAAAACAGAGCAGACTAATTAAAATTACTAACTAAAGGAAGACTTTGATTCAACATTCAATGCCATATTTGTTTCAATATGCAGTTGTTGTAATTTTTAAAGTCAAGTTTTGAAGACTTAAACAATTCAGAAAGCACAGATAGGCAATAGATATATTTGTCTCATCTCATCCCTTTCTGATGAGGGCAATGCCACCTTCACTGCAGTGTGGGGCTCCCAGGGCCATACCTGCAGACTAAGGTCTCTTACAGGGAGCATAAGCTAAATAGTGGCCATACCGTCCCTTTACTTGCTTCCAGGGATGCACACCACTGCTCTCGGCCTCTTCTTTCATCATCCGTGCCAAAATGCAGAGGAAAAGAAGGTAACTGTTGCTAGAATTGTACAGAGCAGGGATCGGTTGGTCACAGCAGCAGCTTTTCACCAGCTCGAGCATTGACAAAGGGTTTTTACTAATATTTGCCAGACCCTTCAGACCAAGCCAAGGAACAGTAAAGGAGCTGTTCTAAAACAATAAATGAAACCACAGAACAAGTTAAGTAACAAAAGAAAGGTAATATTCCAAAGGCAAAAAGACGCAGTCCTCCACATAAACAAAAGGCTACCTCTTCCTCTAAGTCCAAAAATAAAAATGCACCCTCAATATGTACAGGCATTTTTCCAAGATCTTAAAACTATCTGCAATGATTAAAAGAGTCAAAATGAATTCTAATTTATTCTACTTATTAATTCATTCTACTTATTTATTCTACTTATTAATTTATTCTACTTATTTTAGATTATGTTATAACAATCTAACAGAACAACAATACAGCTTAAACATAGCGGTTAAAATAAACAAACAAATTTAGAGATCCAGTCATCAGTTTCACCAAAGTACAGCAATCATGTACGGCTTCAGGAGATGCAGAATTAACTGCTGAAATTGAGGACTGCTCATGTACAATTTGATTTCTTCCAATAGCCGTGTACTTACCAGGTTCTTGCTGTAATAATCCCAGAGGATGGTGGTAACAGATAGGTTCAAGTCCCACAAGCCGCACAAAGTCAAACAGCACTGAAGGTGCATCCGTAACTGCTCCTCTAACACACCAGACTTGCCAAGGGAAGAAAAAAAGGTGGGTTACAGGGGAGCATCCTCTTGCCAACACAGTTTCATAATATAAAAATTATTTCTACTTATATAGGGTTAGAAAGAGTCTACTATTATGAGTGATGGACTAGAAAAAAAAGCTGACAAACATGCACTTCCATGCACTTCTCCCCTCAATGCAGCCAGTGTAACAGTTCCTCCCACACATTTTCAAGGATCTGCCCTAGGCTTTTGGGACCCTGTTTCTCCTCACGACAGCCACTTTGCAGAGGCAGGAGAGTATTTTGGACCGCTCCAAACCAACAGCACATAAGCTTCAATGCTGCCAACTAGTTCCAGTGCAAAACCAAAACACAAACAAACAACAAACCCTCACTTTTCGGCAGTCATCAGTTCCAACTTTTGCACAGCAAGGCAGGACATACAGTCCACATTAAAGAAAACAGTAAATTCAAAATGATTTGAAGACCATGAAACACTCAGCTTGCAATTCTGGGTTACTGAGGGTGGGACTCATCTCATTCAGCATGTGAGGGCAGCCAAGCTGGACTTGCAACAGATCTAGGATGTTACGAATTGCATGGTCAGGCTGAAATCTGATTTTTAATAATCCACCCCGTTTCAGAAATCTGAACTTTAGGTCTGAAGTTTCAGGCATCAGACTTTAGGACGAGAAGGATAATTCCCTAGAGGGGCATTCTCATTTTCACTGACTGTACAAAGGTGGTTTAGGGGACCAGCTGCTATATAGTTATCCTAAGGGAACACTTTTATTCAGCTTTGGGATTTCAACAAACTTGTCTGGGACAAGAGAAACCTCTGACCTACTCCTAGTTTTCACCTACTTCTGAATACTGAATAGGCCTGGATGTCTAAATGCACAAAATGAAGGGAAAGAAGGGAAGGGAGGGGGCAGGAGAGGGAGAGAAACACAGGTGAAGTCTTAACAACTTAAAAATATAGTACCTAGGAGGAATGGCACAGGATCTCTCTCCTCCCTCACTTAAGTCCCAGGAAGTTCCCCCCTTCACTTCCAGTGACCCTGCTGGATCTGGAAGTATAAGACACATTGGCCAAGCAGGTCCAGCAAAGACACCACTGAACAAACAAATATAAAAACACAAAACAAAACCTGATGCAAGGTGATGGGAAAGGGTAAGATTTTTTAAAATACTTTTTCATTAAACACCTTTTTCATTGGGTCTTGCGGTCTGACCCATAGTGCTACGTATGACTTGTTTTAGACCTGCTTTTCTCCTTTTTCAACACTACAGAGGGGCTCTAACTCATGAACCTAAAACTAATGTCATAAATTTGGCTACTCTTCTCTGTAGAAAAAACATGACTTGCTGCACTTTGCTATATTTTATCAGAATACAGTGAACAATTATGCCAGTCATTCCCAATATCTTCTAATGCCTGTCTTCTCCTGAACAACTTATCTACAGCATAGAGCTTTTCAAGTGGTATATTCCTAAAACAGCTTGAAACTTGAAAAGAAATTTTCATTTGTAATACAAAATATGTATTCAATGAATTATGAATTTGAAAACCTGAAATAGAAGGGAAACTCTTCAAGAGAGCCTCATTAAAAACCAGAGAATAACTCAAATTCAAATGAAATAAAAATGATCCTATCTACAAACAAGTGACTGAACCATAGCCATTTTCAATAGATGCTATTTTTATGGATAAAAGTGTCTGACCTAGAACACAATAAAATGCAGACAAACATATCTCTTTTTCCAGAGAGATCTACAAAGGTACAGAAAGTGTACAAAAAAGAAAGAAAGAAAAAAAAAAGCTCCTAAATGAGAACACTTAGTTTTAAAGCCTGAATTCGAGCACGGGATTATATTTAGGATCTGCTTCAACATTCAATTACTGCTCTAATTAGACAAATTCAACAATAAACACGATATTGTGAGCAGCTTCCATCTCAGACCACTTATCTTTCCAACCATAGTTTTTGAGTAGTTTTCAATACCAGGACAGTGCAGAAGGCTTTATCTCAAACATGAAAGAGTTCTCCAGACTTCAAAAACCTCTGGGATTAATGGATTCTCTCACTGCTCTTTTGCTTAAAATGGTCTTCTGCACTGCAGGAGATGCTGTCAGAACTCTTGAGGTAGCCACCTTTTAATTTATCGTGGAGGGGGGGAACACCAGATATTATCCAAATGGTAGTACTATCTAAACACAACGTTTTGCCTTTAGGATCTCCCACTGTAGTAGCAAAATTAGTTTCCTAGAACTCCAGCAAGTACTTCTGTACTTCTTTCAGAGTAGAATTAAACACAAAACATAGCATAAGTTTAATCAAATTGCACTAGAAATTAAACAACACAAGGCATTTATATTGCAAAATGAGAGGCAAGTAAGACATGAGCTGCTGTTTAGTTCTTATGAATAAAAATAGTCGTCTTTAAGTTCTCACAATATAAGCCTGTAAGCACAAATTCATCTTATACCAAAAATCCACCTAACTTACTCAGTTTGGTGTTACAAATAATACTGCTACTCTCATATCCCTAGCGCAGTAATTTTCATTTCGTACTTCAAACAGAATTGTAAGCCTGCTCTTCTTTTGGCATTAGCCTGGTGACAAACAAATCCAAACTATTTTATACCAGGGAATACCTGATGAAATCAGGTCCCCCCGAAATCTCTGGTTCCAAGATAGAGGTGAGAGATGGTTCAGAGCAGTAACTGTCTCCAGCGCTACCCACCAGGAGCCCCTACCCCCCGCAGCCCCTCTGCCCCCAGCAGGCGGCAGGTTACGGCCCCGGCTCAGGGGCTTCCCGGGCGCAGGGGCCTCAGCCCAATAAAATCTCTTTAAAAGGATGGTTTGGGTAAGATTTACCAGCAAACTGAAGACCAGGCCTTGGGAGTAATGTATCTAATACTGTCCCGCTGCTCATAGAAGGCTTTTTGGGTTTTGCCACGTCCCATTTCCCTCTGGACTTTTGGATACCTCATTGCACTTCCCACTCCTACGTTCTCTGCTCTCAGGTACCTTCATTCAGACACTTCAGGGACACGGGAGGGTTACTCAGAAGGTAAGAGCAGTCCTGGCAATGCAAGGCTGAGAGTGGAACAGGGCAGACGGACGCATCATATCTACCAGCCAAGGAAAATTTCCTTTCCAGGTGCTGTACAGAAACCCGCTCTAAATGGAAAGGCAGGAGGGATGCATGTTTTAATAACGCACTCACATATGCGCATGTAGGAACCAGTGCTGACTCCCTAAGAAGCATTTCCTCGATTGAGGAAAACATTCAAAATATAAACTAAAATATAAACTAAAATATAAACTAAAATATAAACTAAAATA